CCTCTAAAAAAAAAAAAAAAAGAAGAAGGCAATGAGGCATCCATTATCCATGGGTTCATGGGTTAAAGAGAACAAAAAGGGGGTCCTTGTTTTACGCCATTGCCCTAATTCTCTCTTCTTTCCTCTTCACTACATTTCTACAGTTTTTCCATGAACACCACATGAAAAATTACTTTTTTGGCAAACTGAGTAACTGATTCACAAAGAGTGAATAATACCTAGAGACTAGCGAATTTATTCGTCAAGATTCCTTCCAAAAAAAAAAAGATTCCTTCCAAGTAATTTTGCAAGTGACAAAAACTCTGTTCAAACTAACTTAAGCAAAGAAGAATACATATTGGCTCACATAGCTAAGGAGGACATTGAGTCTTCCAGTTAACTGTAGCTATGTAACAAACCACACAGCCAAGTGTGGTGGCTCATACCTGTAATCCCAGCACTTTGGAGCCTGTTTCAGGAGGATTTCTTGAGCCTAGGAGTTTAAGACCAACCTGGAAAACACAGCAAGACCCCGTCTCTACAAAACAATTTTAAAATTAGCCAGGCATAGTGGCACATGCCTGTAGTCTTAGCTACTCAGAAGGCTGAGATGGGAGGATCCCTTGAGCCCAGGAGGTGGAGGCTGCAGTGAGCTATGGTCCCACCACTGCACTCCAGCCAGGGTGACACAACAAAACTCTGTCTTTATTTTATTTTTTATTTTTTTGAGATGTAGTCTCGCTTTGTCACCCAGGCCGGAGTGCAGTAGCGTGGTCTCATCTCACTGCAACCTCTGCCTCCCAGATTTAAGTGATTTTCCTGCCTCAGCCTCCCAAGTAGCTGGAATTACAGGCATGTGCCATGATGCCCAGTTAATTTTTGTATTTTTAGTAGAGACAGGGTTTCACCATGTTGGCCAGGCTGGTCTCGAACTCCTAACCTCAAGTGATCTGCCTGCCTCAGCTTCCCAAAGTTCTGGGATTACGGGCATGAGCCACCGCACCTAGACGAGATACTGCCTTTAAATAAATAAATAAAGTTGCCAGAAGAACTATGATTATCCAAACCTGGATCCCATACCCAGGTCATGTGTCTAAGAAGAAAGCTTGTTGGGTAGATTCTAAAGAATAGCTAGTACAACGCCTGTAATCCCAGCACTTTGGGAGGCCGAGGCGGGCAGATCACCTGAGATCGAGAGTTCGAGATCAGCCTGACCAATACGGAGAAACTCCACCTCTACTGAAAATACAAAAGCCGGGCGCGGTGGCTCAAGCCTGTAATCCCAGCACTTTGGGAGGCCGAGGCGGGTGGATCACGAGGTCAAGAGATCGAGACCATCCTGGTCAACATGGTGAAACCCCGTCTCTACCAAA